TTTTCTAGTCGCAAAATCGCAAAATTTCGTGTGCCTACGCCGCACATTATGTTTGGTCGCCGTTTAGGAACATACCGTCACTAAAATCGAAACACGGTTAATTGTGGGTGGGATTTGCCTTTTATCCGTTACTTTAAAATTGTCGTAGAAAATTTTCGTGTTATCATTAAACAAGGTTGAAAACGCGATTTTTTCCCGGTTTGTGATGATATATAAGATAATTAATCCGAAGTATATCCATTAATTTTTATTGTACTGAAATAAATTTTACTCCATGAGAATTTACAGCAGATTTACGGATTTTTCAGGAGGTTTTATCTTTAAACATAATCGGAGTGTCAGCATTGCGATTGAACGGAGTCAATGTTACAAGCGCATCTCAAAATTGTCGAATTTGCAAAATAGAAAAAATACGGATCAAAACAATATATGATAGGCGACGGGCAGTTACCACAAATTTTTATTTTTATGTCGGCAAATGGCCGAGGTATTTTAAAATTGTGGATTGTAAAAAATTGTTTTGTTTTGTCGACGCAAACGCTAGTTAAATTGAAGACAATTAAATTAATAAAGCAAGACATTTTAAATATGCCCTTATCGGTCACGAATTGATTACTTTGCACAACAGAAAAATCATTTTTCGTTGTAAACTTCGGCTCTTTTAACAAGTGGCGTAATCGCGGCGATGAATATGTATTTTTGATTTGACGATATACTTCATATGCATTTTCATTGTACGAAATAAAATTGTACTCTTCGGGATTTTATATCAGGTATTGAGATTTTTCTAACAGCGATAACGAGTTGGCAAGATTCCAAAAATATGTATTAAAATTAAATACACCGTTTATCTCATATTTTTATGTCCACCGATCGCCGTGGCATTTCAGAGAACTAATGTTTCAATTTTGACGTAAGAAGAAGCAACCGCGAGTTACGCTGGACACAATTAAACTAATATATAAAGACATTTTAGAATTTTGTAGTTGTCAGAGATTGAATATTTCACGCGACAAGAATAATCATTTAATCAATCAATCATTTAACGAGCGCGTAATGCGAAGACTGTTACAGACCGCAATGGGAATTTATGATTATGAACCCCCCCCCCCCCCCCCCTTTTGAAAATCCTGGCTGCGCGCCTGGTGGACAATGTAACGTAGGATGTGTACCAGGTTAGGGCAAGGCCATAATTTCAGGTACAAATACAACAGGAGTCATTTGGCTAGTCCCCGTACTTCATCAAAGCAGGACATAATATGATAAATACAGCATGAGTCTGCAACTCAATAAACAGGGAACAATTTTTTGTTTTGCCGAACATGAAAACTGAGGATTGAATGGAAAAAGTAAATAGAAAATTTCCTTAAACATTATTAGGTCGGAGTGTTGATTGTGGATACCCAAGGATTATTTGACAGTAATAGTTCACCTGACACAAATGTGAACCTAATGTCAATCAGCGCGCTTTTGTCTTCCCATCAGATTCTCAATTTTCAAAGGAAAGTGTGTGGAACAGACCTGGAACATTTGCAGGTAAAAAATTCAAGTATATTTGAATGAATTAATAAAGAAAAATGAATGACTTTATAGACCATCCAGCGACGAGTCTAAAAATGCACATCATTTTTTTACAAGATTCACATCGCCAATCTTTTCTGGCAATCAGTGACATGATAGAGAGCTTCAAATACTTAACATAGTACTTAACATAATATTTTTGAGCGTACCAATACCTTAGTATAAGTATCTTAGTATAAACAATGTCCTTTTCTAAATTGCACAAAGATGCCGCCTTGAGTTAAAAGGATAATATTATGTAATCTTTATAAAACTTGAACTTGAATCTAGCAGTATAAGAAAGATCATGTGTTACTTCAAAGCCTGATTTATGAATTCTCAGGTTAGGATTCACATACTATCCTTAGGGAGAGAAAAGCTGATAAAACGGCTCAATCATATGTCAAACTACGTCCACTTGTCCAGTTACCAATCCATGTCGAGTTTGGTATTAGTTGGCCAGCTATTTTGTTTTCAGATGAATGGACTTGATGGTGGAGCAAGCCATGACCGACCAGAGAATTAAGGAACCCCCCTACAAAGTGGAAGAGTCCTGCAATCCTCTCACATATAATTGTTCTCCACTCGATTTTTACTTGCGAACTTACTCAAGGCAATCGAAAGTGCTGTGGCAAGCCTATTCATAAATCTTGGCATGATGTGCCACACCACCAAGCCTTAGATTTGTAGTGATATATATTTGTTCTCCTTCTGAAAACTAAATCATAATGATAAAATTAGTAATATTACAAATGGTTTTATCTTTTTTTCAGCTTTCATTAGAATATGCACTGGCTGCTTCTCGTAGTTTCCCAGTGAAAGAGAAGTCATTTCAGGTTTGTATTTATGGATTTCTGAACAGGGAACACATAATTTCTTTATTATTATTTGCTAATATTCATTCCAAAATTTCAGACAAAACATTAGTTCACATTTAAATCTGTTTTGTCTAAATAATATGCTTACTTAATATTGATGATTATTTGATGATTTTTGCAGTATCTATCCTGTTTATTCAACAGAAACTTACTTTCTTGGTTCGAGATTGGCCAAATCCTGATGAACACAAGTTTGGACAAGGTGGGGATGAATACATTGATGGAATATTAAAAAATATAGATCCAATTCAACAAGTAAAAAAATCAATCCATAGTGGATTTGAGCATGTAAATGGATTCCTGATGTGTAGACCAAATAAAAAAATTGATGTAAATGGAACATTTGAGGACCTTCAAAATTCAGGTAAATATTTTATATGTCTCATGATGGGTAATAGCTTTTTATTTGATCATTTTTTCAAACTTTTCTTTAGAGGATAAAAACATAGAAATCCCCATTGAAAAGCAGTATCTTTAAACTGTTAAACAAATAGCAGCCTATAACAGAAAAGTTTCACTAGACTGCTATTCAAGACTTTATTTCCGTCATCTCACTCCTGATGGACAGAAACTGACTCTTTTGACTCCGTAATCGAGATTTTTCAACAAATGATTCACCATTTGCGAACCATTCAAAATATTGCATGTGAATTACAATAGTTCATATAGTGCAGGGGTGGCCAACCTACTTGTCACCTCAATTGACTAAAATCGCCAAAATAGCTCTCGATCGACTGATAATGACATCATGCACGAAAACAAACGAGTGATAGCTGCACACACATATTCAAACAAAGTTCAGTTTTTTTTGCACGTTCCTAATGAAATCGCCATCATTATTTTTATCTTCTTTTAAATTTGTTAATTTGATTATTGTACCCGGAGTAAATGCTTCATCAATTATATAGGATTTATTCAAATCATACAATTCTGATTCAAGACCTGCCTAATCTTCAGTCAGAAGTGTTGAATTCCTCAAAAAACTTTGTTTAGTATCCATGTATTATCTAAATAGCAAAAAATAAATATTCTCAAACCATAAAAGTTACATGACTCCCAATCTCCTCCGAGGTCGATTCTTCGATCGCTTGGAATTAGAAAGGAGGTATGCTATCAAATTTTCCTAAAATTAGATGCGATCAACCACTCAAGATGTAGCGATTGACCAGTTGGTTGCGACTGACGTGTTGTCCACCCCTGATGTAGTGCAAAACTTAAACTTCATGTACAGGAATTTGAGACTACAATTGCGATGTGAAAAAGTCAAATTCAACCCGTTACATTGTATTATGGACTACGGGGCCCAATCATTTAATTTATCCATATTGTTTCAGACATTACAGGATCATTTCGAGAGCATATCATTATGTTGGTTGATTCAGTCTTGAACCCGAAAAATCTAGTTGTGAAGAAAATGTTTGGGCAGCCTATCTCAGCAAACGGCCTGATAAACCTCATAAGTGAAGTCAGCAATAATATTAAGTCGGGAAAGCAACCTAAAATTGAGACATTATTGGAGGTACAAAATTATTACAATTAATTACAAAGTTATTATGGTGAAAATATATGTTATTCAACAAAGTTTCGATATTGCTAGGAATATAGGCCAAGAATGGCAAGCCATCAACCCAACGGTCAAAATATTTTGTGGTAAGCCGTCAAATCTTACATCTTCTTGAAAGATTAAGATTCAATATAATATATCCATGCATTTCAGCATTTTTCTGCTCATTATCGGGTAATATCAGGAGCTGCAATGCTACTTTGAGTATCTTATAGGACTAGATAGGATTTATATATTTATCCTGGAGAGAAGAAAGCCGATAAGACGGCTTAGCCATATGGCGAACCACAGCCTCTCGTCCGATTACCATTCCATGTCGGGTATGGGATTAGTTAGTTATTTGTTTTTGGAAGCATGGACTCGATAGTGGAGGAAGCCGTAACCGACCAGCGATTACGTAAACCACCCTCCTGAGGCGGGGAGTCCCTGCGTGGGATTCGAACCTGCAAATCCACGCAGAGTAATCAGAGGTGCAGTGGCAGGCGTATTCCTAACGCATGATGAGCCACACCAGGACTTAAACATGGTAATACAAATGTAATGAACTTGATTTTTGAACAGTTTTCGATTAATAATAATATGGCAAATTTTATCTAGAGCACCATAAAGGCAAACAATGCAACTGCTCTGCAGGAAGCCGTGTTGAAATATCGCTGTCTATTGAAAAGGGTAACTGTTTTGAAATTGATAATATTTAAAAATAAAAATATTTCTTAAAATTGCAGGATACTCTTCAATTTTTAATATGGTAATTTTTGAAAAATTTACTTTTTGTCTGTCTTGAAAACTCTAATACTCTGGTAGGACCCTAATGACTTCTAGGCAATCAAGATTATCAATACTTTTATTGGATCATTATTATATTTTTTATCTTCGAATATTATTTTAACTAATACGTAACTGAGTTTTTTTTACCTTTAAAGCTTGTTGCTTCTTCTCTTCCTACTGATGATGTACTTCGTATACAACATGAAAAAGCTATCAAGCAAGCAGAAAAAGTATTCTATAGCATGGCAACAATAGGAACTGAAAGTCAAAACAAAGATGTCTGGAATCATGTGGAAGAAGAATGCAAAACATACTACGAGTTTAAAAAAGAAGAAATTAGATTGAGAAAGGTATTTTCATTATACCTTAGTCATTCAAAACCCATCCCATACGGTTAAAATTAAAGTTAGCTGTAAGAAGAGCATGTTGAAATCTATTCCTTGGAATCTTTATTTTTTTAACCTTTATTTAGATCAGGCGTCTCCAACATGTGGCATTTTTTTGCGGCCCGCGTCGTGGTAGAGTTTTCTCTATGAAAAACTAAAATAGTATGATGTCATCTATGAGTTTTGTTGTGTATTAAGTAACATCGAGAGTCCGGTTCAACAAACTGTTAAAAGTGAAACAAAAATTGCCCTCGTTATTTCACTTTACCACGTTCATATTTTATTCTATTATAATAATTAAATTGTAAATTCAATCATTTCATTTCACGTTTTTATTATGACGAATTAAATCGGCCCGCTCATAAATGGATAATCTGTGTCATAATTTGGGATTATGGCTAAATTAAATGTATTTTGGGGGGTCAATAGTATTTCATAGTGGTCTGCATGTGAACAAAACCAATTTCAAAACTCAAAATGTTTGAGTTTAAAAATATCCATGCTTGATTCGAGTGTTCTTAATTACGGTGACGTCATCATATTTTTTTTATGTTTAATTTTTATTTTGCAACAAGGTCAAATTTATTTGTATGAGTATTTCAGAGCTTAAAAATAAACAAATATCTGTTGTTAGTTGAAAACGAAGTATTTTGAACGCGCGAGCAACGTTCTCCGGCTCATATTAAACAAACAAAGATACCAGACAGCACGCGATCAAATGCTCTTCGATAAAACGAATATCACTTCACTTACAAATCCCACTTTTGTTTTATTTTGAAGGTGACGTAAAACTTGTCTAAAGGAAAACTCTTTCTTTCGCATATCAATCACGTGTTGACCACAGCGTTAAAAGTGAGAAAATTTTTTGAAATTTCTCTCTTCTTACCGGCATATGGTCGGACGCATTTACGTACGTAATTTGGGCGCGTTTTAGTGGAAAGCGGCGAAAATAAGCTTTTTAGGGACACATTAATGATGTCTTTGGTTTGAATATTTACACCATTATTTTATTTTACAATATTTTTTTTTAATTTAATATTGTAATTGTCTGGTTATATCCCACTCATATGGAGTGGTGCAAAAAAAATGATGTCTTTGGCATTTTTGGTTGGTGAAATATTAAAAAATTATAGAGGGGGTGTCAAAATGACCCAGGAACACCAGCGGTCATTAGGTTAAGTTTCGGTCAGATAATGGAAGTGTGCAGTTGTGAATCATTAGTTGATTATGAATCATTTGTGCAGTTACCGCAAAACTAGATTATTATAAACTTATGGATCATTACACAGGGAAAAATACCATGTTTATACTGAAACAAATCATCACAAAGAGGTATCGCAAAATAAGATTTTCACTGATGAAACAGAGAAATTTTTCTCAGACATAAACAAAACTTATGAAGATTCGATGAAAGCAAGATTACTTGAGATGATTGCGAAGTCGTCACGTTCATTCGTGGAGGGTAGCTTTATTGAAGAGTGTATGTTGAAGGCTTGTGAAATAATTTTTTACCAATAAGAGTTAACAAATCAGCCTTTCACACACGACTAACAGACTAGAGTTTGTATGCTTTCTAAAGACCAGCAAACCAACGCAAAATAAGGCCAAACATCGAGTCTCTAACTGCTACAAAACGGTGCCAAATATCTAACACAAGTAAACGATAATGTTTCATGGGGACGGACTAAAAGTAGGCACTTGCAAATTAGGCACTTTGGAAAAAAAATAAAAAGGGCGTAATACCTTTTAAAAACATAATTAATTAGTTAAAAATGGTCAAATTAAATGTTGAAAACGCAAATTGCAACGGGCAAACTCAATAACAATATTTAAAACGTAGTATTAAAGGCAGTCGCACGCGCTTGGTCACCACATATGCTATGCACATATTTAGGCACTTCGAAAAATAAATAAAATGGCATATTCACTAATAAAAGACAGAGAAATAAACATATTACCCACACTGAATAGCCTGAGTAAATATCTAAGAGATGCACTTGAGTCTAGTACTGGAATTTAAAAATAATAAATTGTTACCGGTAGGCACTTTTTCATGCACTTATTTAGGCACATCGAAAAAAAGGTGAAATGGACGTAGTAACTCCTAGAAAGATAATGAAATAGTTCAAAATATTTAAATTAAATGTTGAACGCAAAAATTGCAACAGTTAAACCCAATACTGTTATGATTTGGAGACGCACGCGCTCTGTCACCACATATGCTAGGCACATATTTAGGCACTTCGAAAAATAAAGAAAATGACAATTATCACTAATAAAAGACAGGGAAATAAAAATATTACCCACACTGATTAGCCCTGGGTAAATATCCAATAGATGCACTTGAGTCTAGTACTGGAATTTAGAAATAATAAATTGTTACCGGTAGGCACTTTTTAGGCACTTATTTAGGCACATCGAAAAAAAAGGTGAAATGGGCGTAATAACTTTTAAAATGATAATTAATTAGTTAAAAATTGTCAAATTAAATGTATAGCACGCAAATTGCAATGGGTGAACCGAATAACAATATTTAACACGTAGTATTAAAAGGAGTCACACGCGCTCGGTCACCACATATGCTAGGCACATATTTGGGCACTTTGAAATATAAAGAAAATGGTAATTATCATGAATAAAAATACAGAAAATAAAAATATTAGTCAAAATAATTAGCCTGTTTGAATATCCGATGAATGCACTTGAGTCTAGTAGTGATATTTGAGAATAATAAATTGTTACCGGTAGGCACTTTTTAGTCACTTATTTGGACACTTCTAAAAATGCGTAAAATCGGCGTAATAATTTTTAAAATGATAATGAATAGACCTTTCCCCGAGCATTGACTTCCTTGTTTACTTCGTGAAATTGGCAAATCAGCAAGATGCAAAAAGTGACATAACAATGCTCCCTTTTCGCATCTGCTCAGACACTTTTCTCACTCAGACAGATTTTCAAGCGTTGTCGTAAACATTACCTCGTTTTCGCGTTTTTGAACTCTATTCGTTAGTTTTCAGTTGCGTTTCGGAAAACTTAAATATAAATCAGATAATTCAATGATCATCTGTCTTCCTAGGAGTTTTGATTTAATTGCAGTAATAAAAATTGTAGTGTAGAAATAGCTGTGATAGACGGGTCTCGTGTAGTTTCTTACCTAACATACTTCTAGTGGGCGTAGCATCACCATTTTTTGACATGTCAATTCTAACCCCCACCAGACTATGCCATCCAAACCAAAAATTACATCAGTACGACATCACAATCGCGTTATAGAGCTTGTTAAATATACTTACTATCGCCCGAAATGGCATCGGCGCCGACGATAAAGAACTTACTATAGTCAGCAATATCTCTCATATTGGAATCGTCGCGACGTAAAAACGAGAGAAATAGCCGTTCGATTTCGGGTGCGCAGACGTGCGCGTCTTGGATGACAGTGCGTATAGTTTGAAAGTCTCTATTACGTCACTGTGACGTCGTAGGGACGTAATATTTGCAATGGTAAAGTACGGTATAGGAAGAATGTTTCTGGGGTCAAAGGTCGGGGAAAGGTCCATTAGTTTAAAATATTTAAATTAAAAAATTAATATGCAAATTGCAACAAGTAAACCCAATGATACCGGTAATGTTTAAAACATAGTATTATAAGGGGGCGCACGCGTTCTATCAACGCATATGCTAGGCACATATTAAGCACTTCGAAAAATAAAGAAAATGGGATTGATGGGACTAGTTAAACGCATTATAAAACTTGAATGTTGATCATCTGAAGTACAATGAGTAAACCAATAAATGAGGTTTAAAATGTAGTATCAGACGCAGTCGCGCTGGATATACCTAGAAGAAAATGAGATTTATCACCAATAAATCGCCATGAAATAAATATATATTCGTCATAACAGGTATCCGGGGCCATATTTTAATCATGTTTTTTTTTCGATTGATTTTGTTGTCGGTTTAGCTGATTACGAAATTAATATGCATTCATATGCGATGTACACAATTGATTCTAGTAGTATCAAATTAAAAATGTTGAATTGGTACCGGGTCTAGAGAGACTGCACATGAATATATATATATAGTTTATTCTGTGTTTTTCCCTTAAACATTTAATTAAAAATTTAAAAACACCTGTGAATTGAAGAAATTTATTAATGACGGACAAAGAATCATGCAAATATATTTGATTAAACATTTAAAAAATTGAAACCGTTATAAAAATACACCGAGTTCATAATGATTTCTGTGATACACATTCTAGTAATTAAAGACACATATCCGACTAACGAACTTATTGTTCTTCTAATTGAGAATGGTAAATTAAGATCGGTGGCATAATTGCAGGTATTTTGGAAAATAGGAAAGTGGACGTTGCCAATAAAACTATTATATATGACTTTAATTATTTTAATTATAGCATTTACCAAACTCACGTAGCATACGAACATCTAATAAAGTTTTGTTATCTGGGAGGAACTTTATTTGGTAAAACGTAGCATCTATTGTATAATATTGATGTCGCTCTATTATATTTTCACTACGATATATCGGCGAAACCTGAGAGCTGTGAAGCACTAGCGATCATACTTTCTGATTCATTTTATAAACTGCAAGACCTTGATTAATTGATATATTTAGGGCATCGTGATTGGGGAGACTGTATACTATTTTACAAACATACTGTGCTGTCAAAAATCATTTCAAAATTATTAAATGTTGAACATTTATAACGAAAATTAATCTGTAAATAAGCTGCCATGAAACTATATGTCAATATACAGTATATATACAGTCGCTGGTGAATTATTTTTTAACAGCTCAAAATCCAAAATAAAGCAGAGACTGTAAAGAGGTCCACAATCTCACATTTTAAAAAGAGATATTGAAATACGATTGTAACATACTACTTAATGGTTTACATTGCAAATTTGTTACGAAAAGTTGTGAAAAAAATAGGATGTAATGCAGTTAATTTCGGGGAAATACGGTAAAAGGTGTCTACCGGTAACAATTTATTATTTTCAAATACCACTACTAAACTCAAGTGCATCTATTGGATATTCACCCAGTCCCAGGCTAATCATTTTGACTAATATTTTTATTTTTTTTATGGGTGATTATTCCCATTTTTTTTTTTTTTCGATGTGCCTAAATATGTGCCTAGCATATGTGGTGACAGAGCGCGTGCGTCTCAATTTAGTACTAAGATTTAAAAATCATTATTGGGTTTAACTGTTGCAATTTTCGCGTTCGACATTTAATTTAAATATTTTGAACTAATTCATTATCTTTCTAGGAGTTACTACGTCCATTTCACCTTTTTTTCGAAGTGCCTAAAAAAGTGCCTACCGGTAACAATTTATTATTTCTAAATTGCAGTACTAGACTCAAGTGCATCTATTGGATATTTGCCCAGGCTAATCAGTGTGGGTAATATTTTTATTTCTGTCTTCTATTGGTGATAATTCCAATTTTCTTCTTTTTCGAAGTGCCTAAATATGTGCCCAGCATATGTGGTGACCGAGCTCGTGTGACTCCTTTTAATACTACGTTTTAAATATTGTTATTCGGTTCACCCATTGCAATTTGCGTGTTCAATATTTAATTTGACAATTTTCAACTAATTAATTATCATTTTAAAAGTTATTACGCCCATTTCACCTTTTTTTCGATGTGCCTAAAACAGTGTCTAAAAAAGTGCGTACAGGTAACAATTTATTATTTCTAAATTCCAGTACTAGACTCAAGTGCATCTATTGGAAATTTACCCAGGCTAATCAGTGTGGGTAATATGTTTATGTCTCTGTCTTTTATTAGTGATAATTGCCATTTTCTTTATTTTTCGAAGTGCCCAAATATGTGCCTAGCATACGTGGTGACAGAGCGCGTGCGTCTCCCTTTAATACTACGTTTTAAATATTGTTATTGAGTTTGCCCGTTGCAATTTGCGTTTTCAACATTTAATTTGACCATTTTTAACTAATTAATTATGTTTTCAAAAGGATTACGCCCTTTTTACTTTTTTTCCAAAGTGCCTAAATAAGTGCCTAATTTGCAAGTGCCTACTTGTAGTCCGTCCCTGTTTCATGTCTCGCTTGGTGTAAGATTCAGGGTTAATTTCAACAAATATATCCAGATTTACTTTGTTCATTTTTCTATAACAATTTTGTATATAATTTGCGGCCCGCATCATCAATAAATTTCAAAAAGTGGCCTGCGACATATTTTGAGTTGGAGACCCCTGATTTAGATGAACTGAAATCTTTTTCAAAAATTTTGTTGTGGGTGCACCTGCTAGTATGTTGTATCTGTGGTTGTTGCCAGACCACATTTTATTAATTTTCCTGATACTTTTTTTCATATGATCTTCCCATTGTTTTTAAATAACAAAACATGTTTTATTGTGTGGTATACAACTCAACTCATGAATTTGGTGGGAGTGACTTCCTCCCCCATTAGATCCATGATTTTGAAACAATACGCAGATACTATTACTTTTTCCTACTGTATAAATAAACAAAGAGCGATGACTAGTCATTAGTCTAAGATGTTTTATTAGCTTTGCTCTGTGATAAGCAGAGAGAAACAAATTCTGGGATGAACATGAAAATTCCATTCTGCTTTTATTTTTAGGCAGCAAAAATTCAGGATCTCGAAACTAAAGCAAACGAGTTGCTAAAGAAGTACGAGGAAAAAATGGACAAGTTGTCTATGGTATGTTTTGTAAATAAGTACATGCGTATGAATAAATAACTGACAAACTATTCCCATGCCTGACTTTGACCAGTATCAGTAACAAAATGAGGGCTTAATCAAACTTATCAACTTATAAATACGTAAATCCTATCCATATGGTTTAAATATTAATTACTGGTATTTAATTGTGGTATAAATACACAAATATTTACAAGAAGCACAACAAACAATGGTTAAAAATTCTACACTTTTGGCTTATTTTTATGTTTTTGTTAATTTTCAAGGAAAAACATATGATATGATTTTCCTTATTTATTCTGGGAAACCAGAAAGCTGATGAGGTATCAGGGATGGAAACAAATTCTTTTAAAAGGCATCTTTGTGAATCAGACATTCAAACTTGAATTTGTGGTCACTAGATGGCCAGAACTTGTCTATTTTACATGGTAGCGGCGTCTCCTCTTGTGTAACATGCAGTTCTATGGGTGCCGCAGTCATTCTTCTTTGGTACTCAGATTCTTTTAACAATATTTCTTGTACGAGTGAAACACTGAGCCAATTATTTTAGCGCCCTTCGTTGGGGAAGCGAGAAATCTCAAAAATGCCTTAGGGAAATCCTCAAGTCTTTTAAAATTCCTAGTTGGAATTATGCAAATGTTTGCCATAACGTCGATGATGTAGCAGGTATCACACCCACCGAGGATGTTGTGCAGCCTTGCATGTTAGAAATTTGATGCACAAACCATATAGCCAATATTGCTACTGCTACTAGAGGTTGACTTTATTGCAACTGGAGGCTATGAATGAAGCCACTATTCCTACTTAACAGCCTATAAGTGCTATTATTGTTCCCATCGAAGAATTTTTTTCACTGTGACGAAACACACCCATCAGAGGCAAAATTTTAATCTAAGCAGAATCTCTAGTCATTTTTGGAGAGCGGAAAAGTGCTAGTGGAAGGACCTACAGACAACCGTAGACATACTAAGAACGATATATATGCTTTATCTTTGCTCAGACTCAAGTGAACATGACCTCTGTTTGTCTGAGAAAGTCTGACTTTCTTGTAATTTCGAATAGCTATTAAAAGCAAACTCTTTTGCAGGACATGTCGTCCGGAAAACTTTTGGAGAATCACAATAAATATTACTGGCAGGCTCTCCATGAATATGAACTTATCAATCTCAGAAACCTTACACTGAAGATTGGACATTCTATGAGAAAGCAGTTAATGACAAAAATGAATTCATATTTAGAACAATTAAAGCGACAACGAGAGACATTGGAAAACTTGAAACAAATTAAGAAGGTAAGATTTGAGACTGAAAGCAAGCAAATAAGATAATTTAATAAAATGGCAAATAACCCTTTTTTTAAAAGTTCTGGTAGGGAAATAGCTAACAAACTAATAATTCAGAATGCTCAAATTCGAATGATTGCTCAATTCAGCAGCCCTTCATTGGCTACCCTAAAAATGGATCTGCAAATTTGATTTGATCATCATCACATCAAGTGTGTTTTTAACAAAGCACCAGCGATTGATAATAACATTGACCTTTATTGCAATCAGAAATCCAGTCTGGATTAGCAAAAACAACAACAACATATTCGATTTTTTACGTATATAAAACTATAAATATTTGTGTTTATTTCAAGGAAAAAAAGGAATTTGAAAAACTAGTAATCCAAAAAGCTGCTCGTGATTGCTTGGGTATTTTCCAGCAAAAGATGGCACAGGTGAGAAAGTTATCAAATTTGGATATACAGGGTTTCCATTTTTGTTATGAAGTCAGTTCTTAATATGAAAAAATTTTATCAAATTTAGATATATATATTCTGGTGACCGTACATTTGCATCCGTAAATCTGCGGGTTCAATCTATAGGCGGGTGCTATACCGCATGGACAGGGGCGGACACTTTCCATAATTTTGGGGGGGCGAACTTGGATCGCCTACCGAAAAACACCGCGCCGTGTATCGTCACGTAACAATAACCTGTCGATGTCATTCTCTAAGTATTAGCATGTCAGTTTGCTACTCATATATCGATTACCTAGGCTGCTTTGCTCGGACACGAAACTTGCGCGTCACTGAACCAATTTCTTGAATTCCGCGAGAATTAGCCCACGGCTCTTGCTAACATACAGAAAATAACAAATTCGAGGAGTCGTATTAGGTTATTGTTTCAATTCCTAGTTCTGCATAAAGCGCACTAACGCCGTTTTGTGAAATTAGAAATGCAAAACAAAGTAACAAGCTATTGTGCGAATTTTTTTCCTAAATTTTACCAAGAAATTATCATTTGACTAGTAGAATTGCCATTATTGCCGATTTATTAAATCATCATTTGAACTCGAAATAACATTCAGGATTCACGCAATGACTTTGCAGGGTTTTTATTTATAATTTAATACGAAAATAAACAGGCACAAGTTCAGGCGCGCAGCCAGGATTTAAAAAAAAAGGCGGGGTCAAAGTCGGAACTTCCCACTGCCGTCTGCAACAAGCACCGCGATTACGCGCTCAATAAAAGAGCCGCCTATTTGAGCGTAAAATGATTTTTCTGTCGATCCATGACAGCCACGAGATTCTAAAATGTCCTTATATATCAAATTGTGTGCAACCTAACTCGCGGTTGCGACTTCTTAGTCAAAATAAAAATATTACTAAACTTAAAGTACCACGGCGATATGTGGACATAAAAATATGAGATAAGCTGCCTGATGTATTTAATTTTGATACGTATTTTTGCAATCTTCCGAACTCGTTATCGTCGTTACAAAAATCTCGATATCTGGTATAAAATCCCATATAGTACAATTTTAATTCATACAATGAAAATAATTATAAGGTATACTAGTAAATCAAAAATACAAATACACCGCCTCGAAATCCACGCGGAACAGTCGCCGCGATTACGCCACTTGTTAATAGAGCCGACTTCATCAACGAAAAATGATTTTTCACTCGTGCAAAGTAATCAATCAAAGACCGATACGGGCATATTCAAAATGTCTTGATTTATTAATTTAATTGTCTTCAATTTAAACTGCGGTTGAGTCGACAAAACAAGGGCCACTCTAAAACACGACGGAAAAAACCTTTCGAAAAATCCGTAAATTTTCTGTCAATTCTCACGTAGTAAAAGTTATTTCAGTACAATAAAAATACATAAATAAATACAAAAAGTGATCGAATATACTTTAATTATCTTATATATCATCACAAACCGTGGAAAAGTCGCGTTCTCAGCTTTGTTTAATGTTAACACGAAACTTTAATTAAGTAATGGATAAAAAGGCAAATCCCGCTCACAATTGACCGTGTTTCGATTTTAGTAACGAAATATTTTTAAAGGTCAAGCAAACATAATTTGTGCCGTTGGCACACGAAATTTTGCGATTTTCGATGCCTAGAAAAGCGTTTTTAGACTGTCGCGGGCCTCAAAACTTATATTGTTTACAGTTTTATTTTTAGTATTTTATATTGCCGCTTTTCAACTTTTCGACAAAGTAAATGCTTTGATCTTTGCCCGCAAATTATGCTGGGCCTTGCACGAAATCCATAACGTAAAAAGATACGTCCCGCGGTGGAAATTGTTTAAAACAACTTTAGATCTAGTTAATTTTTTAGCGATAATAATTAATTGTTGTAATGAAACACAGTTTGCCTCTTTCATTTCTTTCGCAAGTGCCAACAATAACACTATTGAAAGATTTTGACAAGGAGAAAATCATATTAAATTGTTCAAAAATGAGTTAGTTGTGCAAAACCGTGGCGCGTGATCGGCGGTGCGTTTGAAGACGGAGTATTACCCGTGCGGGCGCGTATGTTTCACGAAAATGTGAGGTGCTCCGAAGGCGCATTATTGTTAGAAAACAGTTATAATATCGGTAACTATTAACCGTTTAATGGCGCTTGACTATCGCACTTTTCGGAAATGATAATTTTGTAGGGCGGAAACAACATGTATTAAATTTTTTTGCGAAATTATTGGGGGGGCGACCGCCCCCCCTCGCCCCCCCGGGTGTCCGCCCCTGCGCATGGGTTAGGGTTAGTATGGGTTCAAATAAACGTAAAAAACTATTTTCCATAGGTGCAATAGTATGCAGGTGAATTGTCGTGGGTTCAAATCACGGGTGCAAATGTCCGTGGGTGCAAATGTAATGGAACCATATATATCATAAATAGTTTGTAATCTTTATCACAACTAACTTCGGACCAAAATATATCCTAATCTTAGTTGAAGATTGTTTCCCACTGTTTGTTTTCCGATAAAATGACTGCAAAAAATAATTTGGAAGAATTGTTGTTTTTTGTTACCCATGGTTGGAGTCCAAAACTCAAAAACATGTTGAGAAGCTACAATAATTAGGCTTCCCGCTGCTTGTCAGCAGGGAACCTATTGTATTCCTGTGTTTTATTATTATTATTATTTATTTATTATTATTTATTTATTATTATTATTATTTATTTTTATTATTTTTTTTTCAAATTGGTCCTACAGACTTGAAATTCACCTCAAATGTGCAGAAGTTCTCAGCTAGCAATAAAATGCAAATTTTATGCATGACTGACCACGCTTTCACGCTCCAGTGAGCAAAACGCGTCTTCGGTTTTTTTGCGATTTCTCAAAATTGATACATGCTATTGGGTCGAAATTCATAACAATGATTAATGGACATGTTTCGGATACGATATGTCAAGGATACGCATGAGTGACCTCGGCGATACGCTCCAGTGAGCAATATAGGATTTTACATTTTCATCTTCTTCTCGAGAACGACACCACTCAGAGACTTGAAATTTACATCACATGCAGATAATAAGTCCCCCGTCATAAATTGCAAATTTTATGCATGACTGACCACGCTTTCACGCTCCAGTGAGCAAAACGCGTCTTCAGTTTTTTTGCGATATCTCAAAATTGATACGTGCTATTGGGTTGAAATTCATAACAATGATTAATGGACAGGTTCCGGATACGATATGTCAAGGATACGCATGAGTGACCTCGGCGATACGCTCCAGTGAGCAATATAGGATTTCACATTTTCATCTTCTTCTCGAGAACAACACTACTTAGAGACTTGAAATTTACATCACATGCGGATAATAAATCCCTCATCATAAATTGCAAATTTTATGCATGACTGGCCGAGCTTTCATGCTCCAGTGAGCAAAACGCGTCTTCAGTTTTTTTACGCGGGAAGCCTGTTAAAGCTGCACGCAGCTCTAGTTTAATTTATATTTAATATTGATAATTCTGTATTCAAAAAAATTCTGATTCATAGAATACTCATTTCGAATTGAAAAATATTCTTCTTTGGAATTCATTATATGCTTTTTCACCTATTCAGATCTCTAAAGAATTTAAGTCAAAAATAGAAGAAGTCTGCCAAAAAGAAAGGCAAAGTACTTTGCGAAAGTATGACAAAAATTGTGAAAGCTTCACAGACAAGGATGAGGTATTTTGAAATTGCATTTTGCTAGCAACATTATAATGGGAATAATAATATATTTGTTAGGAATTTCAAATATAAATGGTTCAATTTTTTTTTTCATAAAACTCTTTTCTGGCAGTATTAACTTGAAGTGTTGCACCAACAGCTTTCAATTGCTCTCACAAGGGTAAGCTCATATAGAGCATGAATGGTTTCTTATAACTTTCATGGATACACTCAGGCGCGCAGCCAGGATTTTCAAAAGAAAGAGTTTCGAAATCGAGTATTCCCATTGCTGTCTGTAACAGTCACCATGAAAAGAGCCGTATTTTCAATGTATAATGATCATTCAGTCGTGTAAAATATTCAATCCATGAGATTTTAAAATGTCTTTTTAATGGATTCAACGTAACTTGCTGTTGCTTCTACTTATGTTCAAATAATTTCTATAAGGCCGACGGTGATCTATGGACATCAATTTGTGACCAATACGGGCATATTTAAAAAGTTTTGCTTTATTAATTTAATTGTTTTCAATTAAACTTGTGGTTGCGTCGACAAAAGAAATCCTCATCATTTTAATATACCAAGGCAATCTGCGTACATAAACTGCCCAATTATATATTGTTTTGAACCGTATTTTGCAAATTCAGCAAATTTCAGATGTACTTGTAACAATGACTCTGCTCAATCGCAATGCTGCCACTCCGATTAGTTTTATAATGAAACTAATAAGCTTAAAAAAATCCATAAATCCGATGTAAAATCTGGGAGTAAAATTTATTTTAGCACAATAAAAATTGATTGAATATAGATACATTGGATTGATTATCTTATTCATATCCTCACAACCCGGAAAAAAGTCACATTTCAAACTTTGTATGATGTTAACACCACAATTTTTGACGGCAATTTGATGTAATGGTTAAATAGGTGCAATCCCGTCCCGTCAGCGGATGTGAACAATTGGCGATTTCAGCAGAATGCATTTGTACGCCAACTTTTTCAGTTTTCAAAAAATTTTTAAAGGTGGGGGTTTGGACCGGATACACTTTTCTGTTGGTTGAGTCTAAGAAATGAAATTTCAAAAATGATTGTATTAAAAAAAATTATTTTTATTGTTGAATGGTGTGAAGAGAAATATTTTTAAGCACGACTGGTAGTATATAATCGAATTCAATAATAAAAAACAACAATAACAATATTAAAAATTCAAATGACTGCATATTATTTTTTTTTAAATTTCTTATTGAACAAATATTGATTAGAAACTTGCCGGGTACTTGAAAGGGTCTGCTAGATAAATCGAAGTTTGTATTATAAATTTGACAATGCACAATTTCCAATCTTATCCAAACAATTTTTCATATTTCTTTCCGGTAATTATGTTTGTCCAATGTGTATTTTTGGTGTGTGATAAAATAAACTACTGACTAACCCTCTATATTTGCACAGGTCATAAAATGTCGAAAAAACCTTGAAGATAAGTTAGAAGAACATTTTCAAAGAGCTGTTAGAAACAACAAACGCAACATGGTAAACCGACATTCAATTCCTGCTAATTTTAGTTTTAGGGAATAAGCTCCAAGTTACAATACTACCAGTAAAACCGGCCCAGTCCTTTTCCAGTTGTGCATTGCTATGAGTTTAATATATTCTTGTTGCGGGGGTTTGCAATCGGATACTCCAACTTCAATAACAACATAGCTACATCTAACCACTTCTGTGCAAAGGTAATATTATAAATAACGGATTATGTCTGGTGAATACGTCTGGTTGGTAATTATAAAAAAATCAGTCCGAAAATTCTTTAAACATCATCTACATCTTCACACATTATCAGGAAAAACTGAAGTCCGAATGTGTTGAACATACCCAAACAGCTGCACGTGAATATGATGAAAAGATGAAAAATGTAAGTTTAGAATCTTTTCTTAAGTAAGATTAAATTTTCATTATTATTTTAGAGAAAGATATTGGTAGACTAATATACTCAACCATAATCTATTTTCTGTCACCAGTCCCTGTTTGGTTCTAACTAAAAAGCGAACTGTTCCTCCAAAACACATGATTTTAATAAAATTAAAATATTGTTCAGCTGATGAGACAGAAGCAGTCACTCGAGGAAAAGTCTTTAGCTACAAAACATGCAGAATTCAAAAAATTTGCAATTTCTAAGTTCTGTGATTTGCTTCACAGCATGTAAGTAAATCTCAGTCACCTGATGCCGCCACAATCAGAGTAAAGAGAATTTTGATGTTTTAGCTAAAAAATAGATCCAGGAATGTGTTGAGATTGCGATTAAATTTGATTTTGGTATTATTGTTTTCAACTTTTGCTTTTGTAAAACTGTAAATATTGTTCATAAAATGTAACTTTTAATGTCACACAAGGTCCGCCAGTCTAGGTGGGCAAAATGTTTGGACCCTGGTCTAAAATCCTTGCCCACCCTTGGCCAATTTCTTTATTTCTAATTAATATTATTGTAATGTCAATACATTCAGACTCTTACATTAGCCAGTTTTACCTTCATCGAACTAAGCATTCTACGCAATAGAAACTAATGTGCAAATTGTCGATTGTGATCTTGTAATAGACAGGGATGGATTTTTTGCTTTAAAAAAGCAATTTAACCTATTATCAAAAAGCAGTTACATACTATTTAGTCACTCAAAAAGAAGATCGCCTACATACATATATAAATACTTTTTAATCTTTGCAACCTATTTCTTTGCAACATTAGCTTTTTTGCATCTGTTTCAAATACTCAATAGTTCATACATAAAACAATGCAGAATGAGCAATGCCACTACTAGGTGACAAGTGACATTTAATGCAAATGTTTGAAATATGATAAAAATATTCCAAGGCACACATAACATTTTTGCACTGTTTTCTTCAGGGCAATCTTCACCATCTTTTGAGTAAATCCTAAATCCTGGCTGCATTCCATACACTTTAATTATGGTACTTGTTTGCAGTAAGATGTACCTTATTTCAGCAGTATGTAACAGTTCAACTTGACAGACATTTGTCTTATGTCATGCTTTTTGTTCACTAACCTATGGAGGGCAATAATATTAAGACACTGGTGTTTGAACCTATTTTCCTATTACAGGACATGTTCACCCCCAGTATCAGTTGAAGACGAATTCAAGATGAAGTTGAATTCGGCAATGAATGAAAAATATCAAGTTTATGAAAAGACAAACGAAAGAGAAAGAATGAAACAAAAAATGAATAAGGTATTTTTGTGATATAAATCAAATAGGATAGAATTTTTCATATTCATTCTAGGAAAGAAAATAATAATAATCATATGCATTTTGTTTGGCCACCAGTTTATATTTGTGCATAACATTGGATAGAAAGCAATTGTTTTATATTTATTTTATCAATTTATCCTGATAAACAATCTACTATTTGAATAACAGTCTATATGAAAATGGCCAACCAGGCATAGACTTGATTACAAAGGATGTTGTATTTATCAAGTGGTTGCATCAGACCACTGTCATTTATCCTCTCAAGTTGTTTTTGAGAATTGTTATTTAATCAGATAATTGTTTTAAATTGATGGAGTGAGTGATAAGTATACTTGCACATAATTATTTCACATTGGAACGTGTTGGTAAATTAACAAGGTTTGGTTGCAATGATGTATAATCACTCTACGTGTAAGTGTCCATGATTTCAAATTTATGAATCCGAAACTCTTAACTGATTAACTATATGACAACCTTCAAGTATAAACCAGACAGATAATTCATACAAAGGTTAACAAAAACTGTAGTTTACCTTTAACAATTTTGTAAAATAAGCTAAAATAAGTTTAAATACCTTCTGCACAGGATTCAGGAGAATGTGCACGGCATGCAAAGACTGCTCTTGATGTTTATACTCAAGACATGGATCAGGTAGTTCAGTTTAAATTGCTTTACAGAAAGCTACTGTGAGTTAATAGTCATTAAATAAGTTAACATCACCACAAAAATTAAGTGACTCCTGGCTTGAGATCTGGCTTTCAACCAGCTTATATGAAAAAAGAAAAAACAAATGAACCGAGGTGGGCAACCTTCAATATAATATAAGAGTACCAGCTATAAATACCTGGGTAAAGCGGGCTTCATCTTTATTCAACATAATCTAGTAGTTGCAGGCACAAAAATTTTGGTTATTCAAGTTAGGGCATTGGTATATCATAGGCATATGTAATACAGTAAATTGGACGCAAGTATAGACTTCGCAGCAAAAAAATTGGAATTATTTGCACGAACCAGATTGAACAAAACTAAAATTTTGTCATGCGAGTCATACACGTTTAAAAATACAAAGTACATACAAAGTATTTGTGGAATAATACCTTATAGAAACTTCTATTTACAGCGATACCATAATAATCGAGCATAATTCGTTTGGGATTGGTGTTCGACTGTCAATTCATTTGAGTGTCTCAACTTTTTTGCCATTAGAAACATTGGCAATTATTTTAATACATTCTAACGCATAATATTAATAAACAGTGTACCTAAACAACTATAATTATAAAAATATGAGAAGCAACTTTTCTATTCTTCAATTAATTTGACGCTTTTCCAAACTATTTCCTGTTACTTCCTGTAGCTTTCTTTAAACGTCTAGCTCGAATTTTTACTTGAATTTTTTGGTCAACTTCTAAATCATTTGAATGTTGGGTCATTCGACTAACGAGGTATCAATCACTGCAATGAGCTGTTATATTTTTAGCTACTGGAAAAAGGGGAAAATTATTCAGAACAAGGACTGCTCTCGAAGCATGAAACCTGTGAATCCAAAGCACTTCATGAGTTCGAGAATTTAACTGCAAAAGTGTAAGTGGGTTTTTAATTCATAGTGAATCAGCAGATTTGATACAGGTATTTTGTCATTAGAACCAATTTCCTGTAAAAAAATTTCACACCACACAAATTCTTTTTTTAGTAAGCAAAAATATTTTAAGTTCTAAATGATTAATTTACGTTGTGAAACATTATAATAGTATAATATATTTTTAAACATGTACAAAGTATATTAATCATTTGGAACTCATCAAACATTCTAACATTTGACTCGAATAGCTTGTCTTTGTGTTTTTACAATGTTGTTTACACTTTGTCCTGGTTTATTTCTGGCCCGCGGGCCTACTGAAGCAATCATATTGTATTAGCACAATATATTAACTATGAGACCATCATTATATAAATAGCCTACTAGCGAATATAAATGAATAATAAATCTTATTATGTGCAACTCATTTCTGAACTAACTATTTATGCACAGGACCTGCTCACAAGGAAACTTCAGAGAAGACTTGATGAAAGAAATAAAAGAAAAATTCTTTCAGTATAAACAAATGAATAGGAAAAATTATGATAAGAAGGTATGGTATTTATCTGAAGGATGGGTATTTTTCATGACAAGCCTGACGTCTCGGAATTTATAATTATTACCATTTTGTATTACTGTAGATTACTGTTCTGAGGTAAATCTCTGTTTTCGTCATACATGAAATCAGATTTTTCCTATATCAAGTCAACTAAAAAATCGTTATTTCATTAGCAATAATCTTGCAAGCGAGTAGAAACAGGATTTCAAATTTTGCAGTAAGCAGATCAATCATGATAGTATGGCTTTATTACCTCACAATAAGAAGCTCCAGAAGTATGTGCACCAAGATTGTGTACAAACTGACTACAGTATGTGTACCAGGTTGGGCTTCAGGTTTTGCGCCATCTTTGTGCACATACTTTGGGAGCGCCCACAATAATTGTATTCATGTTCTCTATCTGGTAATCTAGTTAGTATTTCGGTTAACTTGGCTAGTTGAGAGATGCTTGTCAACTCATACCGGAAAAGTTACAAAGTACCACCTGATTTGAGCATTGGAAATACGCTCGCCACCACTACTTTGCCTCAATCACCAAGTCCATGCATCTAAAACAAATAATGGCTTACTAATCTCCTACCCATTATGGACTTGAAACAGGACGTATTTTCCATACGAATAGCCTGGTTTATAGTATTTCATCTACCGTAAGATAAATATGTAAATTCTATCCTATGCGGCTCTAGACAAGAGTTTTAATATTGCTATGAATACAAGGCACGTTGCTTTGAAATAACCATTTTATTTTTTAGAAACAAAAGCACATCAAGACTTTGACAGATAAATATGAAGCTTCTAAGCACATCAAGACTTTGACAGATAAATATGAAGCTTCTATGAAGGAGGTAAGTAGGACATAGATCTTGGTATTGCCAGCTAAAAGTGAGATTGTTTTTTTAGGGCTAAAAAACCCCAATTTAATTTTTTATTTGGAGAAAACATTTTCTTGGAACAAATTTTCTATAGACTTGAGCTTTCATACCTGAGTAGATAATATTTTCAATTCATAGGATAGGATTTACATACTATTTTGGAGGAGAGGGAAGCTGATAAGATGGACGGCTTAACCATATGACAATCCACGACCTCTCGTCCGAATACCATTCCATGTTGGGTACGGGACTAGTTAGTTACTTGTTTTCGGAAGCATGGACTTGATGGTGCAGGAAGCCGTAACCGACCAGCGGTTACGTGAACCACCCTACGACGGCGAGGAGTCCAGTGATCCTTTTGCACATGATCATTTCTACATGGGATTCAAACCTGCGAACCCACAAAGAGTGATCAGAGATGCGGCAGCGTATTCCTAATGCTTAGCACGATGAGGCACACCGCCACGCCCAATATGTTGGACAAATTAAAAAAAAAAATACAGCGAAAATCCATGATTGTTATTTGTATTCAGAACTTTCTAGTTCCATAAATTTTAAAATTTATACTCTTCGAAGTGGAACTATGAAGATTATATTGGCGTTTTTGTATATTTTGAGAACTAACAGTATAATTTTCTGTTGTAATGCAGATTTGGAGCAAATCAAAATTCCCTGCACTATTTGCTGAAGTTCTATGTTAACATTTGTATCTTTTTAACTCTATTTTATGCAGTGGGCTGAACGCCGCTTTCCTATAGATGAAGTCCTTAAAACGAATCACAAACTAAAGTTGATAGATGTACGTAAGGAGTTCTCAACATTGATGGAATCAAAGTATGTAATTTTTTTGTACATTCACTGGACTAAATATTAAATAATTGGCTTGCTTATCACTCACTGCCATGTGGGGGTTTGATAGCTTCGCCTTATTGGTGCTTGCACGGTGGTTGAAGTAAATGCTGATTAGATACAGCTTTCTAAATAATCCAAGTTTTTGTATCAGGATTAATAATCTTGTTTACTATCTCATTCCACAATTTAGACCATGAGTTTTCATAGGCCATCTCACTCCCTCTATATTCTCCCATAAAACATTCTTTAATATGTACGGTAATGTTGTAGAATGAATGTGGAGATCACCCCTTTAATTGGCGCAATTATTTGTGATTTGGGTATCTATTATTTATTGGCTCGACAAAACATCAAATTTTCTGCTCGAGCAATATGAAATAATTCAACTCAAACAATCTATTTCAACTGTTATGCCCTAAAATGTTTTCAAGGTACATAAGTTTCTTATTCGGAATTTACAAACTAACAAACATTTCACACAAAAAGTGTGCAAATTTTGTTTTTCATAAAAAACATTTTGCTACAATTTTTAGAGAAACTGCAGAAGATAAGAAAGAATTGGAGAAAGAAATGGATGAGGTTTATTTGAAAATCCAAGTTGAGAATAAAAAAGCCAGAGATGAAAGAGAGTTCTTAAAAAGACAAAAGGTTCCCAGACCTTTTCATGTTAATTTTAATTATTTTTTTTGAGCAAGTCCCTGTACTAATACACACAACTTACACTCGGAAGCGGCTTGTTTAAAAAATTCATTTGCTCCAACATATTTTGCCGATTTTTACCCCCACCTCATGTGTTAATATGAGGATATCAAACTCTATCAACCAGTGTTAACTCTAAGCAAATTATGAGTGCGAAAGGGCTTCGCAGTCGAAAAAAAAAGTGCGAAAGTGCTTTTGCCGATTTTAACAAGTTAGGTGCCCTAGCCTTTCATAAACCCATTTAAAACGGCATAGATACTCAAGAAAACGCTCTTCCGGTTAATATTATGAATTAAAGAGAAGCCTTTTCGTTAATCGAGTTCCCTTTAAGCGAATTCATGTTTAGTTGAATTCATGTTTTATGAATACAAGGCACGTTGCTTTGAAATAACCATTTTATTTTTTAGAAACAAAAGCACATCAAGACTTTGACAGATAAATATGAAGCTTCTATGAAGGAGGTAAGTAGGACATAGATCTTGGTATTGCCAGCTAAAAGTGAGATTGTTTTTTTAGGGCTAAAAAACCTCAATTTAATTTTTTATTTGGAGAAAACATTTTCTTGGAAAAAATTTTCTATAGACTTGAGCTTTCATACCTGAGTAGATAATATTTTCAATTCATAGGATAGGATTTACATACTATTTTGGAGGAGAGGGAAGCTGATAAGATGGACGGCTTAACCATATGACAATCCACGACCTCTCGTCCGAATACCATTCCATGTTGGGTACGGGACTAGTTAGTTACTTGTTTTCGGAAGCATGGACTTGATGGTGCAGGAAGCCGTAACCGACCAGCGGTTACGTGAACCACCCTACGACGGCGAGGAGTCCAGTGATCCTTTTGCACATGATCATTTCTACATGGGATTCAAACCTGCGAACCCACAAAGAGTGATCAGAGATGCGGCAGCGTATTCCTACTGCTTAGCACGATGAGGCACACCGCCACGCCCAATATGTTGGACAAATTAAAAAAAAATTACAGCGAAAATCCATGATTGTTATTTGTATTCAGAACTTTCTAGTTCCATAAATTTTAAAATTTATACTCTTCGAAGTGGAACTATGAAGATTATATTGGCGTTTTTGTATATTTTGAGAACTAACAGTATAATTTTCTGTTGTAATGCAGATTTGGAGCAAATCAAAATTCCCTGCACTATTTGCTGAAGTTTTATGTTAACATTTGTATCTTTTTAACTCTATTTTATGCAGTGGGCTGAACGCCACTTTCCTATAGATGAAGTCCTTGAAATGACTCACAAACTAAAGTTGATAGATGTACGTAAGGAGTTCTCAACATTGATGGAATCAAAGTATGTAATTTTTTTGTACATTCACTGGACTAAATATTAAATAATTGGCTTGCTTATCACTCACTGCCATGTGGGGGTTTGATAGCTTCGCCTTATTGGTGCTTGCACGGTGGTTGAAGTAAATGCTGATTAGATACAGCTTTCTAAATAATCCAAGTTTTTGTATCAGGATTAATAATCTTGTTTACTATCTCATTCCACAATTTAGACCATGAGTTTTCATAGGCCATCTCACTCCCTCTATATTCTCCCATAAAACATTCTTTAATATGTACGGTAATGTTGTAGAATGAATGTGGAGATCACCCCTTTAATTGGCGCAATTATTTGTGATTTGGGTATCTATTATTTATTGGCTCGACAAAACATCAAATTTTCTGCTCGAGCAATATGAAATAATTCAACTCAAACAATCTATTTCAACTGTTATGCCCTAAAATGTTTTCAAGGTACATAAGTTTCTTATTCGGAATTTACAAACTAACAAACATTTCAGACAAAAAGTGTGCAAATTTTGTTTTTCATAAAAAACATTTTGCTACAATTTTTAGAGAAACTGCAGAAGATAAGAAAGAATTGGAGAAAGAAATGGATGTGGTTTATTTGAAAATCCAAGTTGAGAATAAAAAAGCCAGAGATGAAAGAGAGTTCTTAAAAAGACAAAAGGTTCCCAGACCTTTTCATGTTAATTTTAATTATTTTTTTTGAGCAAGTCCCTGTACTAATACACACAACTTACACTCGGAAGCGGCATGTTTAATTAAAACAAGCGAATTCATCGGCAACGAAATGACATATGCTAACACCTGCCGGGACAAAACTTTCATGCAATGTATCATGGTGTCAGTTGCTTACTCGCGTAAACAGCAAAGACTTTCACATTTGTTACTCCTTCCATCTAACAGACACGAGGCAGGCTGGAAACCATCTTAGTTACAGGGTGGATCGTTTGTACAAATCCTGTGCAAAATAATCCCCCCCCCCCCAAATATAAATAGTAATCAACTAATTAGGGTTAGGTGCGATGGAAATTCAACTTTTCGATTTATCCCTAAACCTAATCTGATAAGTATTAATTTGTGATTTTGAACCACTTTGAAAGTCGCCACCCGCTGTTTTAAAAGATAAGTTAACCTGACTTCCCTCCGAAATATTACGAAGGATACTCCCCTGTTTTAGGAGATAGGTTGACCTACTTTCCTTTCAAACCTTTTTCTCCGAAATATTACACAAGATCACTTCTCCGTTTCGATCCCGTTTCGTGAGCTAGCGTGACCTTATTTCTCATTTATATTTATATTATACTATTTCAGAGCTTACCCAAAGACAAGTAATTTTTAAATGTCGACATGCCTTGGTTTGTGTGCGAGTTAGTTTAAATCGGGCAGAAAACTTAATATTTTGGCAAAATGTTTAGTAATGTCATGTACTTTCAGCATTCATAAATAGCACTCTTTGTAATGCTGCTGACCTAGTATCAAATATTCGCATCACAACGCCACTTGCGAGGTTTCCATATATTTCAATTACACTAATAGGAACGATGACACCAAAGAGTTTTCTTTTGCGAAGGTACACTAAATATAACGAGGGTGATTCTTGAGAAAAACATGAATATAAAAAATAAACGAATGATATGATAGTGGATCCCAAATAATTTTGAGAGTGTCTCGAAATACCAATCCATTTGATAAATAATTTTCATTTGACCACATGAACGCTGATATCCTGGAAATTAATGTCGAAAGAGAATTACGCATTCTCAGATATCGGACATCCAGTCGCGATATTCAATCGTTCATATGCACAAATCTCACAAGTAATTGCTACCCAAGTTTGTAAAGTTTAGAAACCAACAAACAGAAAATAACTTATCCTAAAACACAATTAAAATTCAGTCGGCAATAAATTCGTCGCCAAGACGATGCCATACAAAACAAAAAAGATTTGGTCGCGAGAGTTACGTGAGATGACTGTCGTTGTTTTTTAAGCAGAATGTAAAAAAAATTATAATTAATAAACGGGAGTTACGACGCCCTTTACACATCGTGTGTATTAAACTTCCCTGGTAAGTACTTTGGTAAGTACTATTATTATTGTACTTCTACACCTGTTGGAGTATTTCGGACAATTTCGAATTTAAAATAAATGAAAACCCGACATATAATAAAGACGCAAAAGTAAAATGAACATTTATTGAAAAAGTTATTATTTAAGAAAGACAACATGATTGTACAATTCCGCCAAAACCTCGATGTTCGCAAGTGAGATGATAAATAAATACTTCCCTGTATTCGATCAATCAACTTTAGCGTATCGTTGTTCTGCCAACGAACAGCCGGGTGCAAAATATTTCCGTCCTGTGATATGTTCACAAATATTCTCGATATTAATATCATACCCTCGCGTATGTACTTTCTATTAGCTCTTTAGTGATCCCTTCCATCCTTGGCCAAGTCATGTTTCGAATATGTGAACATTTTATTCGACCATACGTGGCCGGCGGGATGTTAAAATTGTAAACAAGAGAGAGATAAAATTAATCGTGAATTTCGTTTTAACGGCTTGTTTACGAATTGTTGCGCCTGTTATCGTCGAAAATAATTACATTTGTTGTATTTTGAGGCATTTAAGCAGTAAGAATTAGGGCATGACATCATCAAAATCTGCAAATTCCGTAAATAAAATTGTGAATTATTCGGTAACGAATTCAGCTTTAATGACCGTCGGGGTATTGTTTTGTTGAAAATTATTATTAATGTGAGAGCGCCAAAAACATACAGTCCATACCGATGCGACTTCAATTTATATGGTCGCACTTAGTGTGGCGCGTTTATTAATAGTGTAAAATAAATTAAACGAATATCAATTATAACCAAGCCTGTCAGCGTGTTTATTTTCTGTTGGCAGGAATCGTAAAATACCATCTTGAGACAAATTCACTTCTATTATAAAATCTTAATTTTCAGTTATTATCGTTATACAAATAACGTGTGGCAACTTTTTAATTTATCGTCGACCAAAAAACCGCCCCACACTCGTCCAAACGTGTGTCGAGCTTGAACGACAGGAAACACATTTTGCGATATAACCTTGTATTTTCGAAAACGGGTGTCCTGAAAAGTAAAATATGATCTAAATTAATCGCAAAAATGTTTTATTTTAAAAGTAACAAAACACATTTTTCGAGATACAACTGTATTTTCGGATACCGGGTGTCATGAAGACTAAAATATGATCTGAATTAACCGTAATTAATGATTCATTCCAAATGTATCATAACGCATTTTTTGCGATATAACTTTGTATTTTCGAAAACGGGGCGTCACGAAAATTATTAATCTAATGTTCTATCGTCTAACTAACGTCTGGAACACATCATTTTCGGGGATAACCCTAGCCCGCGAAACGTCATTTAATTTAAAATAGAGAATGTTCCACGCATTCCAAAACGGAAAATCGCCAGTAAGTCGACAGGGATTCAACCCTCCGGATTCAGTATTCTATATCCCCCGTGTCAGAACTTTCTGAAGAATGGAACAAAGAACCCGTCAAACCGCCGCCGAAGGAGGGGAGTATTTTTTGCACTAATAATTAGGGCGTGACATTATCAAAATTGAAAGTCAAGAAACTGGTGAATTTGCAAATTCCATAAATAAAATTGTGAATTGCTCGGTAACATTTTAGCTATAATTATCGCCGGGGTATTGTTTTGTTAAAAACACGGTGAAACTTGAGGGAATTAGTTACAATTAGCGCCTGACCTCTATTAGGCACTCGAAAAAAAAAGCACTCAAGCCCAATCTTTTTAGCATTAAGTCGCATACGTAAAATATCCTGTAAAAGAAGTGCTGTTCATTAACGTCATCTCGTCTTATGACCACGCAGAAATGCCTTTATTGCCGAATTATTCAATCACTATTTTAAATCAACATTCAGGATTGGCACAATTTCAGATTTGCGAAGTTTATCACCATAGAAAAACATGAGAAAGGTAAATATCGTCTTAATAAATATCTGCATCAGGGTATGGACAATAATATTACCATTCGCATAAAATTGGGACGGTAAATTTACAAATCTTGATAGGTAATATTAAAGCCAACGCAAATGTTAATTTGAGTCCTCAATGTCTTCAACAGCTGTTGCCGTTGTGAACGAACGGGTAAACCCGAAATATAAAACTTCGATGTCCGCCGACCCACAAGAATTCATATTTGTAAAAAAGAGAGGGCGGGAATATAGATTACCCAAAACCTGGATATCGCCGCCAAAACGATCGGTGACAAGAACAATTAGCGATTACAACGGAATTAACCAGTAAAAAGGCTTTGTTGCCGATTTTTTAATGTTTCCACCACGTTTATTCGGTACTCCTTAAAAATATTCGTTCAAAAAAATATTGAATTTTGCCCACCAGTCCTCGCATATCAATGAGAAATAGTTGTGTGAATATTGCAAAATTACGGAAAATGCCACTCCTTTCAACATTGTGATTACAATAAAATGGCACTTAATGGTATTTTGTGAATTTGGTGATTTTGCAAATCTGTGACATGCTGCTAAAAGTTTCGTCTGTTTGAAAATCGTGCAGTTTGGGCACAATTCATCCAAAGTGACTATAGCAGGTAACACTTTTATAGTCATTTTGAATTCATCGATATCATTGATAGTCACATGACCACTCTCTTCAAAGAAACGCACTGCATATTATTCCAACATCTGGTTTCAATCACCCGGGAGCGTGTTTTGCGGGAGAAGCGGAATCGGTGTGCTTGTATAATAATCATATTTAAACAAGAATTTTGGTGTTAATGCAAAAGCTTTATCTCCTATGTCTGCATCTCATAGGTTAGAATTCCTGTAAATATCGTTATGATATGCAGAATTGAGTTACAAAAGTACTAGTATGTTACTTATTTGTCAACTACTCGAAAATATTTGTTAACTTTGAATTTTTATTCCATTCAAAATCGGAAAAAAGTGCTATTTCTTTTCAAAATCGGAAAAAAGTGCTATTTCGCAGTCCCTAAAAAAAGTTGCGAAAGTGCTTCGCAATTTTCGCAAAAAAGTGCGCTAATAGTGAACACTGCTATCAACCATGCTCTCAAATTTTGTCAAAAAAGCTGTGTAAATTCACACTGTCACGTTAGTTCTGGTAACTAATTGAAATAGCTTAACTGTAGAGTGTAGACCATTTCATATTGTAAAATGAGTCCCAACTGAAAAGTGATGCAATTCAAATTATTTATATATTAGCTTTTGAACAAATTTTATTCTGATGCAACACAAAACCAGTATAACCAATGATGAAGCCAATATGTACTCAAGACAGATTTCTAAAACTAACTCAAGATCTGATTATGGAGCTGCTTTTCTGGCTCAGACCCATTTGCACCCAGTTGTTGAATCTTTGCATGTTATAGTTATGCTCAGTGATGAGCTGGAAAAATCGTAACAACCGGAACGCACCTAATTCGCAAAAATGTAATACATTCACAACACTACGCGGACATTTACAGAACTGCAATGAACTGTGAAGAAATTATATGAAATGTGTTCGTGTAAAATTACAAGAGTATTCATAGCAATTCAATACTAATCTTATTATAAAAGGTATAGAATGAATATTCATGGGGTTAAAGATCGGGGAAACATCTAATACACGTTACTGCTGTACTAATTATTATTTGCGTTATGTGACGTAAAAAGACTTAATAACAGTGGCGGCGCGTCAATAGGGCCAACCGGGGCAATGCCCCGGTTGTTTTTTCGGTATAATAAAAAATATTCGAAAAATACCTCAATATCGGTTGCACAGACTGTCTACACTAGCCATATTCTCCCGACATGGTTCATTTTTCGCTCGCAAAGCCTTCGCCGAACGTCGACGGGGCGATGCCAATTTTGCCCCGGTTGCTCATTGTATATCGTATTCTCTCTTTTATCTTCCACTCGCCGCGATTGTCTCGTTTGTTTTCTGTTTCTTTTACTAAATCATCGGGGCCGATCGGGGCTAGCCCCGAAATTATGACGACACAATGCCGACGTTTCTTACAACAACGTGTTGACATATTCACGCATTCCTTCTCGTTCGTTGGTTGCTTGAAGAGTTGATAGTTTCCTCGCCTTCGTTTTTGTCGCTTGTTTCGCTGTTTGAATCAGTTAGAGACCTTTAGTCCATTTGCTTTCGATTTTCCACATTCCTTCTGAGCTCCTCACTTCTTTCCGGCTTCGCATTTCTTAGCCTTAGACCTCATAATGAATAAGGTTGATGCACTACTTCGCACTCCGTTCGCAGCTGCCGCTGGAACAAAAATTAGAGGTACAACGTCTTGGGCCTTATCAACCAAAAAATTGTTCACTGGAACAATCCCATGACGGAGGAAAGCGTCGGCGTACATTCTGCGCAGAAACTTGGTTATAAAAACCACGAATGGTTGTGTTACAGCGAGGACAAAATGCACTTTTTTGTTTTTATTGCCTACTTTTTGCTACCGCCGTGACTCACGTTGGGTGTAAATTTGGTTTTTAGAGATCTCAAAACATCTTTCCGAGCGTGCCAGGGATCATCAATCTTCTATGGAGCATCTGGACAATGCCAGTAATAAAATACCGAACATTCGGAAATGTTAATATGCAGCACAGTGGATGAAGGACGCGCGGTTTTCTATTCGTCGGCACAACCAAAACGTCGAGAAAAACCGCCATGTTCTCGGTCGATTGATAGATGTTTTGAAGTTCATTGGTTGTCACGAGCTGTCCCTCCGTGAGCAAGATGAACGGGCTGGCTCTTCTAATAGAGGGGTATTTTTGGATATGGTGGAATACACCGCATCCCTAGATACAGTATTGAGAGATCACAGTGAGAGATTTCACAGCTTTGTACCAATCGTTGATCGCACCGCTTGCGGGATATCGGCTGTACTGAAAGAAGTGTTACAGACTTACAACGCGAAGTCAAAATTGATAGCTCAAACTTATGACGGCGCGGCAGTCATGAGTGGGTCGAAACATGGTGTTCAAGTTTATATAAAAGATGATTTTCCTCATGCGCATTTTTTACATTGTTATGCACACCAATTTAACCTCGTTATTAAAAATATGTGTCGTAATACCCCTCTCGTCCGTATATTTTTTACAAATGTTCCGGGGTTTTCTTCATTTTTTTCCGTTTCGCCGAAGCGCTCTGACCTCCTTCGCCAGATATGTAGCCGCCGTCTCCCAGCTTGTGCACCAACACGTTGGAACTTCCAATCACGCGTGGTGCAGGGCGTGTCCGAAATTAGGTCTGAGCTCATTGAGTGTTTCAATGGCATTCAGAGCTCTCCGGTTAGGGACGAACGCTCCGTGAGGGAAGCGGCAGGTCTAAAGCGTCTGCTAGAAGATGGTGAGTTTTCATTTTTTCTCGCTTTTTTCTCCACAATATTCTATCACGTGGATGTATTATACGGCGTATTGCAGTCAAGGCTAATGGATGGAGCGTCTGTGCAGTCGTGTATTCCAGACTTCTGCGATGCTGTATCTCATATCCGGGAAACAATAAAATACGACGACACATGGAGTGCTTCTTTACGTCGCGGGCAAACAACGCAGTGTTTGATTTTGTCTGCAAAGGAATGCTGTGACATTCTGGTGAATCAAATAGGCGATCGTCTGCGCACTGAACACCTTGCCGCGTTCTCTTTGATGAACCCCAAAAATTTTTCAAAATTTGCACGTCAATTTCCCATCCATTTGTTGGCTACTGTCTCCAAACGTTACCCCATGATAAACGTGGGTAAATTGGAAAATGAATTGCGATGTATATACACCAATCAAACTTTTTTGAACATCACATCAACTTGCGCGCTCTATGGGTTCCTCATAGATAACACTCTAGTAACTACCTTTGCGGCGTCTGCAAAATTTCTGGACATTATTTTGACGACGCCTATTTCTTCCGCCGACGCAGAGCGAACATTCAGCACGCTGAAGCGTATTAAAACGTATCTCAGAAACACAATGAAGTAAGATAGATTAAATTCCTTGGCTGTTTTATCCATTCACAGAGACGTTATTTCTGGGATGCATGACTTTAATCAGCGCGTTATTGAGCATTTTGCTTCCAAGAAACTGCGGCGTGTTGCATATATGTTCAAGCAGTAGAAGTCTAGCAGCATATATATCTATGAGTGACTGACGCATGTCCATATCTTTGCATTACCTTTCCTTTCTTCATAGTAACGTTTTAAACCTTATTTTAGGTTTTGTCTGCTTTCCCGAAGTTTCTGTTAATATGTCATTGTATTTATCTGGGTAAATATTGCCTTTCCTTTTGGAAGAGGTTTCAAAATAAACTATGTCGGTATTTATTAATCCCTTGACTTGGACCGGTTTTAAAGACACTTTCTTATCGTTAAAAATTGTCGCTTTTGCCGATTGGTTGTTACCGATGGAATGGTTTTTATACTCATAAAATGATGGGAGAACTTACAGCGCTCATCCTGTCCCCGTCGATGGGGGTGACTTGGTCCCGCAGTAACTTGCCCCGGTTGTCAAAATGACCACGCGCCGCCACTGCTTAATAATATGATGTAACAAAACACAAATTAATAACTAAGTTTACAAGAGAAACTGAACTTTTTGTCCCCTAATTTTATTTCAACAAAAGGAACGCAAATGCAGTAAAATTCCAAACAACCGAACGTCGTTCCGGTACGTTCCGGCTACAGCTCACCACTGGGTATGCTTATAAACAAAAAATATGTCATGTTCAAGTGTTGTGTTGCCTTTTTCATATTACTGTATTACCAGAAAGAATGGAATATCATGCATTCGATTTTGTTATTTACAGGAATTAAATATAAGAAGCCTGCAAGTCATATCTGAATCTAAAAGCAATGACTTTATTCGCATTATGAATCAGGTATGATATGCTGACATGATCAATAAAATCTATAGGAAGTGAAAAATGGATTTTAAAAAATATAAGATATTTATTTCTATGAAAAAAAAAGTTGGGAAGAGACGGTTCATTTTATTTTTCAAAACATGAGACATACAATATATGGGGCCTAATTATACGAGTGGTCAAGGCCACACTTGGGCACAGTAATAGTTCATTTGATTTGTTGCAATGCATGGCGTTGCCAGAAACTTTTACTTGTCTTTTATTTTTAATTTCAGTATGAGAAGACATATGAGAAACACTTTGAAAACATCGCCAGAAAAAACAAGAAAAAAGTTTTGAAGGAATTTGATGAAGAAACGAAAGATCTAAGAGATTCTATAGAAGAGAAAATATTGGAGGCAAAGAATGAATTGGAAAGAAAAATAGATGAATTATCGGAAAGAGGAATTCAAAGAAACGACAAAAACCTTGTAAGTATTACACAGGGTAGAATTACTACCAAGAACCAATGCGCTTCAGAAGTATGTACACCAAGATGGCGGACACCGGTCTGTATTATGTATACTAGTTTAGGGTTAGGCTATAATTTTATTCCATTTTTTTCTTATTTTAGTTCTATTGCGAGTTCGAGAGCTAGCCAAGTAACCCAAATCCATGAAGAACAAATTTGTTCATCAACCACATATGTTTTGTAGCAATGAATTTGAACAGTCACATTCTTATTTTAAAAAGTCTAAACAAATATTGCTGCTTATTGTATATAATATTTTTCTGTGCCAAATGGTGTGAAAAACTTTTTGATAATAACAAAATAATTTGAATTACAAACACATACGCCACATTTAAACATCAGCTTCCTGATAGATATATAACACCCATTGGATATTTTTCAATTTTGAATATTCTTAATTTAATCGAGGAAATATTGAATGATCAATGTGATACGTTCCACATTTTCTTGTAAAAGGAAAATTACAAAACTATCTCTAAAACACATTAGGAGACTAGCACATAGGAAAAGTGAAAATAAGGTAACCTATATTTTTTGAAGAAATGGAATGAAACTCAAGTGGACAATGCAGTCAAACAGTATGTTTTGAAGTACCAGGAAATTCTAAACGAGGTATTCACTATTTTTGTTTGTGTATTCATTCCAGCAATCATAAATAACAAATGGCTATTTTTCGGAGAAACTGCTGTTCATCATCGTCTACCTATTTTTTTTCAACTTGGGTATGGGATTTGAATTTTGCTTTAGTTGGAACTAATTTGACACAGTAAATATTTTTTAAGCTGATGCAGAAATCTTACTTGAAATCCAGTGGTTTTGAAGTGGTTGAGAGACGGTTCTTGGACCATGTTGACGCCCAAGTTGAAGAGGATGAAGCAATTAAAGAAAGAATCAGAAATGAAATAAAAAACAAAACCGAACAGGCTAAGATACAGAATAAGAAGAATAAAATCTACAGGTCTGTTACAGAAACTAAAGATACAATTTTAAAATATTTGGGGGTAGAAGTGCTAATCATCACTTTTCCCGTCTGGGTTCCTCTGGCTGTGCTTGGATTAGTGGTGGTTGGAACTGGAGTTGCGGTAGTCAAGGTTAAAGATGGCATTAAGGAAAAAATAAAATCCAGAAAGTAGTTTCAAAGAAAGGGGAATTATCATGATATGTATCATATTTTAAATTTCCCATTAATTTATCAATACTGAAGTAATCATCGAATATTGAAACTTTTCTATAATGCTTAGCTCAGTAATTGTTTTTAAGTGTGAGGGGTGGGGAAGAAACTGCAGCATCTGAGATAATTTCACGCAGTTTGCGATATTTTGTCCAAAAAAAATAATAGAGTGGTTATCCATGGATAACGTTCTGCTTATCTGGCCTTATGATAACTACATTTAACATTACTCACTTTTCATTGTGCATAGTAGCGTCTTAAGGCATCAAAAAACATCCTTAATTAAAAAAAATTCTGGTATAGACAGATTTGAAAGTGAGCTCTGACTCTGCATGCAAATTTTTACCTACCGTAAATCTTTACATAAATTTGAAGGATTCACTTTAAGATATACTGAGGATACTCTAATCGCTGAGCAACTCACTAGAAATACAATAATTGAAATTTTGTGCACATTTAATGCAATGAAAACCACTCCTCTTGTAAGTGAAAAACTCTTATGTATTTTAATATGCTGATTGACATATATTAAATGTTGTTATTGATATGTGATTTACGGTATATACTAATGTAACCAAGTCTGAATTACTCTAAAAGCAATTCTATCAAAAGATTGGAGTAAATTTTTGGGAAGTTTTGTTATGAAGAAAGCATGCATATTTATCACTAATACATGTTGACTTCTTATTATTTGGAATTCATATTTATGTTCCCTCATAATCAGTGGTGGGATTCAGCCTGTTCCCACCGGTTCTATAGAACAGTCTCACAGAATTTTATGAGATCAGCGAACCGGTTAGCGTTACTAGTTACTGTCAATAGATTTTTGCATATTATCTGACACACCGATTTTTGAAATCACATGTTTTTTTTTTCAAAATTAGCAGGTAACAGTTATACATTGTGTTGGGATAATAAGTATAATTGTAGAAATTTTCCTTTTGTGATTGGTTGCCTGGAAATTGAATTGTTGCATCATAACTTCAAGTCATGAGATGACAACTGCTTTTTAGTGTGGCTGTTAGCAGTGATGGGATTGACCCGGGTCGCACCATTCGCTGGAACTATGGATTGCATCCTGTTCTTGCAACTACTTTAATATATACAGCAATAAACACAATTCTTAAGTTCATCAAAAATTTCGATGCTAATTTTGATGTAATGATGCTTTCTCAACCATTATTTTGGAATGTTAATTAGAAAGTAATTAAAAAATAATCAGTTTATTTGCTAAAAAACATGACTTTTTGTGACAAAACCGGCTGAAAAATATGACTTTTATGATGAAACCGGCTGACAAAAAATTTGAATCCCACCATGGTTCTAATTTGTGCCTTCACAAGGTGATCATTTTTCAGATGTATTTATTATTATGCTTATTAATTAATAGATGATATAAGGTTATATTATAATTTATTGCATGATTTCTTCCATGTTCTGTGCTGCTGATTAGAGCCAATTTACACTTTGTTTTAATTGCTAGAAATGGTTATTCCGCAGAAAATAGATAATTAAGGATGTTATCAGTGGAGGTTTTTGGTCATTACACCCTAAAAATTGACTGCATTAGTAAAATTACCCCAATCTTGACCCTTATATTCTTCATACCCCTTCTAAGAAAATGCTTCCTATATGTTTACTGACTATTTGTGAAATATTGTAATATTTGAAAAATATTCACATATCATTTATTAAAATATTTGGCACTCCCGAAGTATGTGAACCAAGATGGCGGACACCGGAACGTAGTATGTGTTCCAGGTTAGGGTTAGGTAATAATTTCAGGTACAAATACGACGGGAGTAACTTGGCTAGTCCCCAAACTCGTAATAGTACTAAAATATGGAAAATCAGAATAAAATTATGGCCTAACCTTAACACGGTACACATATTACGTTGCGGTGTCTGCCATCTTGATTGACATACCTCGAGAGTACCAATATTTAACATACACTTTGTCGCAGAGTTATGATGTATGAGACTGCACTTTCAAATGAATACTTCCACAACTCTAGTCTGATCAGGGCTTTGTTTGAAATTTCTACCCATTTGAAATTGCTTTTGAAAAGTTAATTTTTTTTAGTTAAGTTAAGTTTAGTTAGGTTCATTTCTTGTAAATCTTCATATCTTTGTATGTTTATAATAATTTTATGTCTCCTAGATATAATGCTCCCACTTATGTATATTCCTGCTATATATTTGATGCCTGTTCTTTAATTCAACTTTAAATAAAATTATGTGATTCTCTTATATTGTCTTGAACAGGATGGATGGGTTTGGGTGGAAGTCAAGTTTGTTCTGATTCTGCCAGTTTGAAGCAGGACTTTATAAGAGTGTGACATCAGGTGTAAAAAATTTTAACATTGAAGAAAACCAAATGTGAACCACCAAACTTGTGCTTTATGGTTGGTTCACCACACTGAATGTAAACAACATATATGCTTGTCAATAGTTACACAAATTGCTGGTACCATAGCAAATGCAAGTATGCATGTATGTAATGATAATCTATCTACGCATTTACGAGACAAATAAACATACATATGAACATGTGAATTTTATGCGATGTGGCGCATCGTGTTAATCGTTAGAGTACGATCGTCGTCGCCCATAGGGGTACCCTACGTGGGTTCTCAGGTTCGAATCGCATGCGGGGATATTTACGCACGAGAGGATTGTCGGACTCCACGTCGGTGTGGGGTTGTGGTAGACCTACCATACGTCCCGATTTGGCCGGGACAGTCCCGGTTTCAACATCTGTCCCGGTTAGCAAAATGTCCCGGAATTTTACTTTGGTGAAATTTTCAAAATGAACTCCAACTTGATGCAAAATTATGAAATAATTCCGTCCCAAAAGGCATAACTTTGCTTTAACTCGAGGCTTATTTTAATATCTTAATTTTTTTACCTTATTAGGTTGAATAAAAAATCGCGCATAGCTTAAGAAATCCTTTAGTTGAGAATAATGAGTGACGTTCATTGTCTCATTTTTCTATTAACTTCAATGAAAATACGTATAATTTGTGACTTAGGGTGGAGATCAAAAACCTCACTTAACTTAAACCTGGATTAAGACTAATCTCGGATTAGTTAAACTCGGTTTAACTTCGAAAGTTAAACGGAGATCAAAAACCCAGTTTAGCGGTTACTTAACTAATCCTGGTTTAAGTCCGACGCCACGAGGCATTTCATCAAAACGTCGTGGCATGTTGCTCTTTGACCTCGTATTCCCATGGCGATGACAACGCGAACCCGATTTTGTTGTAATTTGCTGTCTTTGCAAAGTCAGTTTTTGATGTATTTCGTTGATTTTGCCAAAGCAAAACAAGCTGGGCGGCAGACCTACGAAAAGCTGACGCGCATTACCCGAAATGTCAAAATAATAACAATTTATCATAAATCCAACCTTTTTGGTCGAAGGGACACGTGATTCATTAATAATTGCGCGGGCCACTTGACATGGTAGTTATGATCTAGTTTTGCTACACTACTACAGGTTAAAAATAAAAAAAATACCCTCACAATTATTAGAACAATAAAACTTGTTTTCCAACCATTGACGGGCGCCATCAGTGGTTATTCCCAAAAGTTTAGCCAAAGACAAGACGCTTGATCATTTTTATCACAGCTCTAGTCGTACCCCTAACAGGGGCAATGGCTGCAGTCTCCACTGTGATTTTATACCATCATTAACTACCCGCAAGAAGATAGCAAGTCACTAACTGAGCAGTAAACTTAATGTCAGCGCATCGTCAAGCGCCAAGGAATACAATAAAAAATTTTCCGCTTCTGCATTTAAAATTCCCGCAATAGAATTCCCAAGCTCTTCAACACGATGAGTTATGGTCTGTCTTGACAGGCTATTTTTGCAAACACCTAGAAATGCTTCTACATATTGCTCGCGGGCCACGAGTTGGACGACCCTGGTCTACAACACCAACTGAATCTAATATTTTACTCCTAAAACCTCAGCGTAACAACAAACAGACTTAAATTACAGAACCCACATCCTACTTAGAGTGAAAACAGACGAAATGAACACACTTCAGCTGAAAACCTATCCCTGGCAAGTTCTGGGCCACAGGCTTCTACATATTTAACATTTTATTATTTTGAAAATTTGTATTGCAAAAATAACTAATATTCATTTGTTCAAATGACTGCTAAAATGTACTGACATTCAAGAAATGGAAAAGCATAGAATCAATTCGGAAGAGGTGCTAAATTTTATCCTGGCTCTACAGCTTTGAGACAGGAATGTGTCAACGTAATGCACACAGACACAGGTGCAATCATAGTTGTTGCTTTCGTTGCTATTTGAAGGTTTTATTTATTTCTTCTGCGGAAGACTCGCCAAGTGACGAAAAATTGACATAACTATGTTTCCTCCAAATGTTTTAGAATTATTGCAAGAATTATTTGTTTGTTAAGCTTAAGTTAACCGGGTTCCACATATTTGTTGGACACAAAGGCGTAGAATAAAGCACTGCTGCAACCTTGACTTGACAACACTTTTACTATAATCCTATCCATAACAGTTGTTTGTCTTCATGACCTGAACAATAAAAATAAAAATACAGGGTTAAAGATAGTATATTGATGAAGTGCGCTAGATATTAAAGAAGCAAATTCGACCTAGGCAATGACTAAAACCGAATAATTTGTATTCGAATTTGTACAGATTTTTTTGTATTCTGAAATGATAGTTTTGAATTACGTAAAATCCAATGTATATTTAATTATATGAATTTGGAAAAGTAAAACAGTAGAGTATTCTTAGTTTTCAGATATTAAATGAAGGCTCTTTTGTCTTCGATTGTGATTGCATGTCGAACAACTTTGCTCTACTCTAAAATCATGTGATACTAGTTTTGCCTGCATGTAAAAAGAAATGACTAGAATAAAAGTATCCTCACATTATACGAATAACACAGAATATACACACAAATTAAAAATAATTTTCATTTAACAGCTGATACTACATAAATTTAGGACAGTTCACATACAAATAATATGGCATTTAAATAGTGACAAACTCACAAATTCGCTCTTCCAATAGAGCTGATGAAATTGATCATCATCATGGCACTCAGACAGTTTACTTGACTTGAAACAGCTGTAGAAATAAATGAAAAATCAGAAAACAATGTTACATTAAAGAAATAGTTATGATAGCATGAACCATTGCATTCATAATAAGGTATTGGCAATATATAGTTATCAATATACTCAATTCCTGCATTTGGTGAAATTCATGGGCATGGTACTACAATATTCTAATTTCATTTTATATAGCAAGAGTCAGAATCATTAATACCATAAATATCGTACATATGTGCATACAGCATACCAATAACATGCAATATGATTTTACATTGGTGTATATCAAAATATCCACCCAACCTGCTATCTATTCGCTTCTAGCCTATTTTTTTTATCCAACTTCGGGAACTTGCAGACTTGTGAATTAGCCGATGACAAGATACATACACCGGGGTACAGTGCAGTAGTGATACATGGATATCGTAGGTAAATCTCAGTTCAGCTCATACACAAAATATAACCAAGAGGAATCTTTTGGGCACTGGTAGATCTAAATATCTGAAAATATATCATTTTTGTTAAAACATTTTGAAGTTTATATTTACTGAATTAGGACTAGGAGTATCTGTTCGACGGTACCACTGCGCAACTGCTTACCAACGAAACTATACAAAATACTGGGCCCCCTATGTCTTTTATGACAAGAACCAATATAGCAATATACTACTGGTACAACTGTAGTCTACAATCTAAGCTAAAATAAAACTTCACGAAAACTGCTAAGAAAATCAAAAAAACGCAAATACAGAAATATATCAATACGCCAGGTACCGTATGTATTTACCTTACTAGCCCAATTCCACGTTGTGAATACTTTTTCAGGCGTAGTACGGTAGGTACCGGTACAGCACAGGTACCACCGCAAATGCTACATATCGCAGCCTCGTGGTACAGGTATACAATTATTTATTCGTGGTGACGCTTGTACAGAGCTCCCTGCTACTCCATTTGTCGCCCCAGAATACAATATAGATTGTACGGTAAGCGATAACAACCAACACAACAAGCGCCGCAATCCTAATGCACTCGACAAACCGAGTTAAACCACCTCCAGACCAGGTTTAAAAAATCGCCGATTTTAAGTCGAGATTTACGTCACAGAAAGTTAAACCACCTTTTTGATCCGAACTTAAACCGCCGATCCAAAGTTAAACTCCGATTCGAGGTATAAGTATAAGTTTATTTCGACTCCATAATCAGCAAAACAATAAAATGAATGCTAAAAATAAATAAATAAAAACTGATTATGAAATCAGGAGAGCGAACAAAACCTTAGATAAGGTTTGAAACGTACAGAATGTATATAAGATGGAAGGTTTTGCCAAGAAGATGTGGTACGTGTTCACTCACCTAAAATAATTGAAATATTTCACACACGCTCACACGCACCCTCACACACAACCATATAGAAGTTATTAAGTAAAGGGAACATGAAAAATTACATACTGGTAGTTAATAAAAAATAAATAAATAAAAATTACTTGCCACACCATATTAATAAATTTATCATGATTGCCACTGCCAAATTGATCAATTTTATAAATGGGAGTGAACAGTAAAGATAAACTTTTATAAAAAAATATATTGTCAAGCTGATTATAGATGGAGTCAAATGCCAAAATGCCCAACCAAAGTTGCCAGAATTGGGTGCA